CAGCTCTACACCTTGTTATCTCAGATTCTCCAGCATCTGCAGTTCCTACTATCCCTACAGTATCTCTCCTGTGTGACTGCACTGGTGTTTGGTCAATTCAGATAAATGCTGGCAGACTCTTTCACACAGAGTAGGTCTATTTCTCCCCAGTGCTGAATGCACTTTTTCCTTCCATGTTCAAAATCCTTTGATAATACAGTTTTTTAAAATTCATTTGTAGGATGTGGGCATCGCTGGCTGGCCAGCATTTCTTGCCCATCCCTAGTTGCCCTTGAGAATGTGGTGGTGAGCTGCCTTCTTGAACCGCTGCAGTCCTCCAGATGTGAGTTGACCCACAATGGTATTAGGATTAAATTCCAATAAATAGGATGCTTCTCAGACCTGGATGTGATTTCACATGGCTCCGCTAATTGCAAATCAACCTTTCAAATGGAAAATAAAAAGTAGTGAGAGAGAAACCAGAAGAACACACACAGATTTTGAAGTTGAGAGAAACCAATCTGATTCTTTGTGGAGCCAATAGCTGGGGAGAAACGTTACCAAATAAACTCTTGGATTATCATTAAACCTAACATTAAAGTCAGTGTTTGCACAAAACTACAAAAGAAGAGGCAGAGCTGGGAGATACACGACTGAAGGAGGCAATTGTTCCTGTTTCTTCCCCACACCCTTTGATCCCTTCAGTCCGAAGGACTAAGAACAAGTGCAGAAGCAAAATGCTGGAAATCTGACATAAAAACAGCAGTTCTGGCAGTTTCTGAAAGTGTGATAGAGGTCAACACTGTCACAACCTAATTTTGTCTTTACCTTGTATTTACGGTATCTAAATGTCTTATTCATGGCTCATCCAGATACCTCTTGTTATCTTTACATCCCCATTACTACTTTCCTGTATTTTGACATGTGAAACCTTTTATCAGTTAATTTCACTGCTGACAGGACAGTCAGTTAAACTTGAGTGCTTTGAAAAATGTTAGAAATGATCACACCAGATAAAATGAGAAGCACTTGAAGAGAAACAGGTTCATTTAAGAAAGTTAGAATCGTTCACAGAAAATTGTGATGAACTATCTCTCGAGTTTTTGATGAGATAAGAATGAGTGTTGATGACGATAATCTAATTGCTTGGATGAACATGGACTGGCAAAAAGTATTTGATAAATGCTCTGTAAAAGCCCAGTGAGTAAAACCTAAATATAAAGGAATAAAAGAAACAGTAACAACATCGATCTGAAATTGGCTGAGTAACAGGGAACAGAGTCATCATGAACAATTGTCTTTTTTACTTGAGGAGATGTGAAAGTTAAAGATAGTTAGATAAAATAAAGAAATGCTGTTCTCATTAGCAGACAGTAAAATGATTACAAGACCATGATTTAAAATTTTCAACAAGTGATGTAGAGATTGGGAGGATAAGTCATATAAACTGAGAACAGCAAAGGCCTGCACAACAACACTTAGAATAAAAGGCCGATAACATCCACATCCTGATTAATCAAGGTCACCATCAGATTGTGTTGTGGTTTTTTTTTTTTTCGCAAAACATCCAATGCAATGTCCTGCAAAGGGAGATTACAAAAATCATCACTGTCAGCCCAGGATAGAAAAGCAGAAAAGAAGAACATTTTTCTTACTTTGGCTTTGCTTCACAGAGTCATATAGAGGTTGAGACATAAAAAGTGGCCGCTTGGGCCATTGTATCTGTACAGGCTGAAAAATAAGCTACCCAGCCCCAACCCACTTTCGACCAATTGGCCTGTAGCTTTGCCAAATCAGACACGATACACATAAATTGAGATTTTCTGCCTCTTGTTTCTCGCAGTGAGTTCCAGATCACAAACATCCTCTTGGGGAAAATACTTTTTCTAATCTTCCATTTAATCTTTCTACCAATCATTTCAAAACCATGCTCCCTAGTCACTGTATTCTCTGCTGGTGTAAGTGGCTCCTTGCCACTCTATTCAGGACCCTCTCAATTAAATTTTC